GAGTTTAGATTTGGTACTTTGATCTAATTCGGCCTTGGATTCGCAATCTCATCTGGATCATGCTAGATTTGGTACTTTGATTCATCGTCATCTGAGTAAGTCTCCTTCCTCAATCTCTTGGGCGGATGAAATTGTTGAAGAAGTTGATTCTGGTTCTGGATTGATTCAGTCTGATTCTGCAATTGTTGAGATCACAAATAAATCTCATATTCCGGCCAATGTTCAATCTGTAGACAGTAATTCTAATTTTGATAATTTTGTGCAACCTGATAATGATGTGGATGAAGCAGAGCTTATTATTTAGGAGGATGCTGAAATCAAGAATACTGAAGCGATCAAGAAATCATTTGTTAGCCTTTTTGTGGACAATAGGAAATCTGGTAATGGTTTACCATTGAATTTTATTAAATCTGCTCTAACCAACATTGTTACATTCTCAACTGATGAATGGAAAGAGGGGTAGAATTATTGGAAACATGCTTTAATTGGATATGTCATTGGCCTAAATGTGCAATTTAAATCTATAGAATCTTATGTGAACAAGATTTGGGGGAAAATTTCTATTCCAAGAATTTCTCTAATCAAGCAAGGAATGTTTATAGGTTGTCTAAAAATCACAACAGATAGCTGATCCCCCATCAAATACCGATGATGAAAGTTACAATCTGACGACTTCTAGAAAGCTATAATTTGAAGACTTTCACGTAGATCGATAAATGTTATAATCTGACGACCTTCATAACAACCGATGAAAGCTCTAGTTCAACAACCTTCGCAATCAGCATTGGGAGTTACAATCTGACGACTCTCATAGTTTCAAGGAGACAAGATGAAGATTACAAGATGACGATCTTTGTAATGCTCCAGCAAAAGAGACCACAAATTGATGGTCTTTTCACATCAAAATGCAGAGGTCATCCTTATGTTTCACCATCAAAATGCAAATGTCATCCCTGTGTTACAACATCAAAACGCAGAGATCATCCCTGTGTTACAACATCAAAACGCAGAGGTCATGCCCACGTTTCAGAGTCAAAACGTATAGTTCATCCCCGGCGTTCCACTTAAAAACGCAGAGTTCACGGACTCAAAACGCGGAGTTCATCTCTGCGTCCCAACTCTGCGTTTCAAATTTACAACGCAGCGCGAACTGTGTGTTCAGTCACTAAAATTAGCCCAACTCTGCGTTTCAAGTCTAAAACACAGAGTTCGGGCCCTGAACATTATTTTTCAGCGTTTGACTCATTCAAAGCACGAACTGAACGGTTTCAAAACCGTTTTCCCTATAATTTGGGGAGCAGTTTAAGGGGCAGTTACACCCTATTCAGTCCCACTTAGGAGCGAATAAAGATAGAGGTTACACCCCTTAATCCCCTATAAATTGGAGTAAACTCAACTGAGTTCGGATCTTTTGGATCTTGGAGTATTTTGTAGATCTAGAGATCGGCTTCTTCGGATCATCTTCGAACTTCCTGCAGCAGATCATCTTTGAGCTTCCTATAGCAACAAAGTTCTTAGAGCATTCCCTTGGTTTATTAACCAATTTTTCGGTTCAAATCAACTCTTTTTTAAGAGTTTAAACTCGTTCTGAGTTATCAACTCGTTTAGAGTTTCAAACTTGCTTTGCAAGTTCTCCACAGCATCAAATCGTGAGAAGAAGATATCATTTCAGTGAATCAAGATGTTCGGATCATCAACGGAGAGCAAACTCGACGTGAGCATTCGAGGGAGGCACTCTATCGCCACCGTGAAGAACCCAGACTTAAACAAAGAGGGGGATTTGTATCAATTCTCTTCTCTTTTATAATCGAGAATCCAAAATATAATTGAGATTGAGAGAATAAAATCAAATACAATTCTTTCATTTTTATTTCACAAATTTTCCACCAAACAATGTTTCTGTTTGGTTTCCAAACAGAAAAGCAAATGCAAGAAGTTTTAGATGCGGGTCCTTGGTTCTTTGGATCTAGGCCAATGGTTCTTAAGCCTTGGACAATTGATATTGACATAGATAAATTCCAGGCTTATAGATATCCAATGTGGGTTCAATTCCCAAATTTGCATCTTAATTTGTGGACGTCAACTGGTTTGAGCAAAATTGCCAGTGTGATTGGTAATCCTATTGCAACTAACAAACTTACAACTAATAGGCAAAGATTGTGTTATGCAAGGGTCTTGTTGGAAATTGATTTACCTCTTATAGAGAGTTTACCTGACTTGATTGAAGTTCAAGGACCTGATTGAATAAAATACAATCAAAAAGTTATATATGAACTCAAACCTAGATGGTGCTCTGTGTGTAACATTGTTGGACATGAAACTGAATTTTGTAGGAGAAGAATTTCTAAAATGAAATGGATGCCTGTCAATAGGCCAAAGGAGCTGGTGCACGTTCCTGTTGATGTGCATGTTCAAAACTCTATGTAGGAAGGAAATGTTGAAAAAAGAACAGCTACTAATGTGCCTATGCAATATGCTAATGAAATTCAGATTGGAATTATACGGCAGGAGCATATTGATAAAGGTATCAATGCTGGTCAATCTGGGCAAAATACAGGAAAAAGTGTTCAGGGAGGCAAGAACAACAAATCTGGAACTGATATTCCTTTGCAAAGATATTATGATAAGCAGCAAGGATATGGAACTTGGGGTGTTTTTATAGGGCAATCCAGTAAAAGCATTTCAAGCTTTGAAAGGTC